GTACTCCCTCCATTCCTAAATAATACTAGATGAGTCCCCGCGCGTTGCCGCGGAACAGCGGTATATCTCTTTGCGCAAAATTATCGATTTCATAGAACTAAAAAAACTCTATAACCGCATGACAAATGTGGTAGCCAAACTAAATAAACTCCCATCATCATTTAGATCATCCCATGTAAGGAAAAAAGATCATGCAACTCCTACTGCATAATGGGATTATATTTTTCCTTTTGACATGTTAATGGGACTTAAAAGCTCACTTACATGCATGATACCGGTGCATGCTTGCATGCAGACATGTTGATGTGATTTAAAACCCACTCACATGCATGTGCCACGGTATTTCTGCATGCTTGCATGTGGCTTAGTGCGGAGCCTCTCAATGTCTAGATCAGACGGCTATTATGGACTGATTTACTTCATCCAATGGCTACATCAATTTTGATGATGTGGCTCAAGGAGAGGATAGAGAATTCCTAGTAGTGGGGACTAGCTATTACTAGTAGATAAGTCTTTGTAGAGATTCCACTAGGTGAACTACATACGGAAGAAAATGAATGAATCTACACTTAAAATGCATCTATATACACCCGCATGTGGTTCATGGTGAAATCTCTACAAAGACTTATATTTAGGAACGGAGGAAGTACATACTGTAATTTATCACCGAGATAAATTTGTACAATGCTATGAAGCTTCCAACTCCTGTTACATGTATCTTGTGTCCAAGGTTGCTCGTTGCAACATTTCATCAAATACAAAGGAGACTATCATGCATGCTATTGCATCTCAATGATTGACAGATCATAGCAAATATGTACTCCCTCCATTCCAAAATAAGTGCCCCTACTTTGTGCAAACTTTAGTACAAAGTTGTACTACTACTAAAGTTGACACTTATTTTGGAACAGAGGCAGCTAAAGAAAAAAATGACCCATGTAGTCCCTAGCCCTTGAACCGTGAACCCTGACCAGGCTTCAATTTGCTGGCAACATTCGAGCTTCCTAATAAATGAAGTTTGCAACCTTTTGACCATCGGATCATTTTGTGCAGTTTCACCAAAATCGAGATGAGCATTGATGACCCACAAGTATAGGGGATCTATCGTAGTCCTTTCAATAAGTAAGAGTGTCGAACCCAACGAGGAGCAGAAGGAAACGATAAGCGGTTTTTAGTAAGGTTTTCTCTGCAAGCACTGAAATTGTAGGTGATAGATAGTTTTGTGATAAGATAAATAGTAACGAGCAAAAAGTAAATAAAGTGCAGCAAGGTGGCCCAATCCTTTATGTAGCAAAGGATAAGCCTGGACAAATTCTAATAATGAAGAAGGAGCTCCCGAGGACACAATGGGAATTATCGTCAAGCTAGTTTTCATCACGTTCATAACATTCGCGTTCGGTACTTTGATAATTTGATATGTGGGTGGACCGGTACTTGGGTACTGCCCTAACATGGACAAGCATCCCACTTATGATTAACCCCTATTGTAAGCATCCACAACTATAAAAAGGAGTATTAAGGTAAACCTAACCACAACATTAAACATATGGGTCCATATCAACCCCTAACAAAGCAACGCATAAACTAGGGTTTAAGCTTATGTCACTCTAGCAACCCATCATCTACTTATTACTTCCCTATGCCTTCCTCTAGGCCCAAATAATGGTTAAGTGTCATGTAGTCGACGTTCACATAACACCACTAGAGGAAAGACAACATACATCCACTACAAAAAAATACACTTCCGTGATGGTACGTGTTTGTCACAGTAGGTCACGTTTTTTTGTCATGCATGTACATCCATGACAAATTTATGACAGAATCAAGATAGTCATACCTGTGCTATCGTAGAAGTGTTCCATGACATTACCAAAATTATCATCACGGAAGTGTCCACTTCCATGACGATAAATCGCGCGTCACAGAAGTGCTTTCGTCAAGGGTGACCGACACGTGGCATCCACCTTAACGGAATGCCGTTAAGCTATCGGGTCGGATTTTGGATCTGATAACCCGTTAACAGCCCCGACCAATGGGAAATTTCCATGTGTAAAATTCTGATTGGCCGAAGGGAACACCTGTCAGCTCGTCAGTGGGCCAGATGTCGCCCGTCCATTGGAGGAGCCATGCCTATGGTACGTTGACACGTGGCTGGGCCCAACAGAGGCCCATATAGGTTAAAAAGGCCGGCCCAGTAAAAGGCCCGTAGAACTTAATCAGGTACTAGTGGGCCAGCCCAATAACGACCTGCTTCATAAAGGCCCATTTACAGCCCGAAACCAGATCTGGCCCGTTAATTGTTCGCCCAATATTTGGGCCCATTTACGGCCCGAAGCCAGATCTAGCCCGTTAATTGTTCGCGCAATATTTGGGCCCATTTGCGGCCCGAAGCCAGATCTGGCCCGTTAATTGTTCGCCGGATATTCGGGCCCAACTACAGCCCAGTGACTTTCGGCCTGTTAGAGGCCTGATGTAGATATGGGCCCATTTCAGCCGGTGTGACTTTCGGCCTGGGAATGGCCCATGCTGCCCATGGGCCATATATGGTCCGACGGGACATCGGGCCCACTAACGGCCCGTGCTAAAGGTGGCATCAGTTAAGCCCAACGTGACTTTGGGTCTATTAAAGGCATGTCGCGTAATTCGGCCTGTTGATGCCTGTACTAAGCTTTCGGCCTATTAAAGGCCCATGATATCAGTGGGCCAACTAAGGCCCGAGATATGTTTCGGCCTGGTAACGGCCCGGTCTACATTTCAGCCTGCTGAAGGCCCGTCGACGACTAGTGAAAATTGAGGCCCAACATGCATTTTGGCCTGCTAAAGGCCCATGGTTTCATCTCGGCCGTAACAGGCCAGTACAATAGTCAACCTGTTAATGGCCCAACGCTACCTGGGCCAAACTAAGCGCTGGGTTGACAAAAGGACGAACTAAAATATAGGCCGGTGTAAGTTTGGGCCTGGCGCAATGTGTGAAGGCCCCAATCATTCGGGCCCAAGAAAGACGCAGGCCGGCCCAATTGTGGCCCGCTAAAAACCTGGCCCGTTATCGAATGTTTCGGCCTGGTCGACTACATCTGGTTTTTTTTCAGATAGCGAATGATGGTAGTAACTAGTAGGAATTAAGAACAAACCTACTCTATACAATAAATAAATTACGGCATAGTAACTAAGAATAAACCTACACTATAAAATAAAGGATTTAAGGTATATTACATCCAGTGGGCATCGAAGTTCGCCACCAGTGATCATAAAGCGCAACGAAGAAGCAGATTACAAAAACTGGGCACCATTGCAGCGTAACAAAATAATACTAAACCAAGACCACTTCCAAGACAGTTCAAAAAAGGTTAGCCTTGCGGGGGAACTGCTGCGCAAGCTGCTGAGCAAGGCTGTGAGACCGGCCTAGCATGTCGGTCATAGCTTCGAGGTGTAGCTGTTTAGCGATGAGGTTCTCATTGGTGTTCTCCGCAATCTTTCTTAGAGATAGGACTTCAAGTCGAAGTTGAGTTGCAGAATGCCTTTCTACTAGAACTTGGGACTGAAGAAGTCGAACTGATTCAGACAACGAATTCTGTGAGCTTGTCTGACTGTTAGTCTCAAGTAACTTGAACACTGCATCAAGACAAGACTTTGGGGTTGTCTCGTTATCTTCAAGATGTTTTTCCTTCTTTGCTACAATATATGTTGGGTTTGTCTCACAGCCTTCAGCAGACTTGTGCATGCCATTAGGCATATCACCCTGAAACAAAGCAGAGAGATGATAGGTTTTGCATGTGTATAAACAAAGATGATAACTGTTCTGTCAATTCTATCCAATTTCAAATTAGAAAATAAAGAGTAAGTTCAAAATATCAATAGCATAATTTGGCATTGTTCATAATGCAGGGAGCTTCACCACACTACTGGATTACCATGTCAACATAACAAGCATAGATAAAGGGCAAAGAAAATCATTGTATCTATTTTGGATAATGTGCATGGCATGTTGTTCATATCATCAGCCACATCAGTAAGATAAAACAGAAGATGACAAGGTGCAAACATGGGCTGCTTCACCACACACTGGATTATAGATCCACAAAACCAAGCATACATATAGGGAGTATTAAGTAATGTGCATGGTATGAATAAGAAATTTGGTTTTACAAGCAAAACTTAGAACTTACGGTTCTTACGAACATGCATTTTGGTAGAAACAGCAAACTAAACAGCAGTAAATGATAGGGAGTATGAGCAAATTAAACAACAGTTGAGGATAAAGGCTTTAGAAGGACCGACTTACATTAACAGTTAACACCGGCTTTATAATGCCCTTCTCCATGTCAGGGGAAGGATAACTCAAGAATTTCAGCACAGAATCTTTTTCATAAGGATTGCCTGTACTCTACATTTTGTAGAGAGTAATTAAGTACAGTATAACCACACCTAAACCGAGCTCTCTCAGCGATTTGCGTTTTTAGTCGTCCGTTTTCGTGATTTAGACGTTTCTGGCCGTTAGATCACGTCTCGTTGCAATCTGTCTCGCACTATGTAAAATCTGGCCCAGCTGTCCTATGGGATGCTGCTCCAGGGGCCGAAACCAAGCCCTCAGGTAAACTGGTCCGGTAATTCCAGCCCATTAAGCTAACATGGCTATCTCGCTCGACATGGAAGGTGGATCATGCTCGTGCGCTCGTTGTGCTTGCTGGACAGAAAGATGGATCGGTCACGGGGGAATCCATCCACGGCCGACGCGCGCGATGCTCTCGAGTGGGATCCAGACAAAGGGCGCGAGCCGCGCCCGGCGATGTGGGTGATCCATCCAGGTGACGGCGTGATGAGCATGCGATTCGACCGGGATCCAAGGGAAGTGCGCGGCGCTGCCGGCCTCGACCACCACGACTCGCTCGAGCGGGATTCCGGTGCGGGAGGAGATCGACGCAAGGCAAGGCATCGTGCCCAGATTGAGCCGATGCAACGCGCGTGAGGATGCGGCACGGGAAACCCTAGGTGCCGCCGCCATGCCTCGTGCTATGTATGTGCACAGGTAAGGGAAGAGTCGGAGAGCAAGGGTTGTCAGATTAAAATCAGCTGCCATGTTAAATCCGTCTTAAGTTTTGAAGGAGGTGCTCCCATTCTTATTTCGTTCTACTCGATCTTCTTCTTGCACTCCATATTTTTTTCTCTGGTGAGGAGAATTGTATCCCTGGCCTCTTAAAAAAAGGAATAAGAATGATGATGGTATCTATTCATTGCAACTACAAGTCACAGAGTGGTGGAGGCTGACGGCCCGGAGGAGGTAAATGACAAGATCATATTGGGCGCACATGCACCTGACATTTTGAGGGTGCTAGGAGACGAAGCAACACACGAGGAGTTGAGGATTCTGGGTGCTTTCCAATATGTCCAGAGGTGAGATCGATTAAGGCAAGTTACCTTTGCTATATATCTATTATGATTGTCCTTTTTCTGCTGAATGATCGATCATATTCATACCAATTGATTTCGCCTGCAGCGGCATGTACCTACATTGTGACGAAAGCCTTATGCCATGGAATCCGTCGTCATGGAGCACCTGCAACTTCCTGGGAACAACCAGCACTAGAGAGTTGCACTGCTTTAATTCGGCGGCTTGGTTGTCGAGTCGGTTGCCCCTCTGTCTTCATATTTTCTTTCACATATGATCTCCTCTTCGACCCAATGATTCCGGTGTTCAACATAGTTCTAGTCAACTGATTCAGGAAAATATTGAGATATTCATTAGAGAACTGACAACCTGTCTTTCTTAATTTCGTGCAGTGGTTGAAATATTTTCTATCGATCATGTGTCCATCTCCTACTGTTAAGTACATGACCACAATAAAAATCAGGGAATCATAATGTTCTGTATGTGTTGCGGCACCATGGTAATTCCTCTATTCATTGGTGAGACAAAATATGCACCAGATGAATTTATTAAGGAACTAAGATCACCACTCGCTTTTCCAAGATCAAGAGTCATTTAGCTTGATCCCTAGCATACTCACTAACTTAATTTCAGTGTGTTTATTCATCTAATAGTTTCATTCTTTCAATGCAGGATTGTCTTACTTACATGAGTGTTGATGCTGGTTGGTGTAATGGGTAAGTACTAACTTAATTTTAGTGTATTTTTTCATCTAATAGTTTCATTTTTCCAATGAGGATTGTCTTGCTTACATGAGCATTGATGCTACTTGGTGTGATGGGCACAATGGTTTTATTTTTTAGTTTTGAGATTTCAAAGAGGGTCACTTAACGAAAGGTTAGCATTCATCACTATAACCCAGTCTTCTGCACACTTGTTGAGTATCCATGTAATTATGATTAATTCTTGGTGTTAATGGACCCTGTATATTTATATAGTAATGCTTGTTTTTTAACTCAAAAATTCACAGGAGAGTTTGGAAGCTGCTTTCAAGGAATTCTATAAACTAAACAAAGTTTCTGCCAAAATAGGAGGTAGGTCTCTTCTTACAGATAATTTGAAGCCGAACGTTTGTAACATTCATGCTTATTTCTTTTACTCCTTTTCTTCAATTTTTTGGTTTCTTCGTTGCACGACAGGCTTTCCCAGGGAAGTAAGTACTGTGATGTGCGTGTATTATTATTCTTGATATGATTTCAGGTCTGTCTACCTTAGGAACCAAAGGATAAAGCTCAGGAGATGGTTGCATAGGCAGTAAAAAAGCTGGTATTGTGCTTGTATGAAACTGCACCTTGTATATACATGCTTGTTTTAAAGATACTGTTATGCTAAGTGACAATCATTTAATTTCTTCAGAGTATAAAATCCAAATTCTGTGATCAGTATATCCGGAAAAAGGTGGACATTTCCTGAGCTATCATACTGATTACTGTGGTATACTATCGTAATCTTTGTTTGTAATTGTGCATAGGTTGATATCTTCTCTGTTTTTCGCAACCAAGTTACTTGTGCATATAAATCAATGTACATATAACCAAACATAAAACATACAGCCAAACATCCGTGGAGATGCGTGGTATTAGAGCTCGTAAGTAATGTAACTATTATGATTGTAAACCTATCTCCTTCCCCATATATGAAGGTTAGAGAAACTATTTTTTGATATCTTAAAGTTATCTTCATGTTCACTATAGGCGCCAGATGGTTGCAATAATCTCCATTCATAACAACGTTTGGTGTGTTTGTGCTTTGGTTATATGGGGTTGTACACTTGAAACACTGTAACATGAACTACTCAAATTTTGTCAAATGGATGATATCAGGTTCCGTACTATTGTAGATGTAGCTTTCAAGGCATGAATGAGTGCTCTTCTTCCTGGAAGAAAAATTGCAACTCTTAGAAATATCAAGGGGGTTCCTCCTCTTTACCAGATATCCTTACCACATTTTGAAAACCTTGATGTACTATCTCTAAACCTACGGTCCTTTGCCAAGAACTGGCTCGAACGGATCTTAAACATGAACTTTTAGGGAATTATAATATATTTAAATTTCTCATGTATTTCTAGCGTCCCTTACTACCACATTGTTTCACTGCAAAACAATTAAAATCCCCCATTAAACTAACCAATTAATGAGCTGGTTTCTGTAAAAGCAACTTTCATGTTTTGTGTCACCATATATCTTTCCTATCAATCTATTAACAAAATAGCGGGTGCAGCATCGCGCGCTATCGTGATCTAAGGACGTGACTATATGGGGCTATATGCTGCTGGGGCTATAACACATCACCCTATAAGTTATGGAACTAACGTCGGGTCGTTTAGTAGTGTTGTGTTTTCATGTCCTCGTAGAAATGATTTAAGGTTTGATCATTATATAAGTTTTACATTGATAGCTGGTAATATCCCATAGCTTATCTATAGATTGGTTGAAGTGATTTCTAAAATACATTACGAGTAAAGTTATTATGGGCAAATGCCACACATATTTACTAATTCCTATATTCCATTATCAAAATGGATGGGCTGCATCAACCACTAATATTATAATGCCAAATTGGATGGGCGCAGCAACGCGCGCCGTCGACGATCTAGTTATAGATATGATAATACTGGAAGGGATAAAGGATAATGAAGATAAGATGCAGATTGATGCTACATAATCAACTACCAATCCCTGGAAGTACAAGCGTTACAGGACAAAATGTACTGACAAGAGCAATGGGCTACACTTCTGCAGTGGCATTGTCTGTGTATTATACTTGTTGGTAAGATTAAATATAGATCTGACCTTTTTTAGTAAATGGTGGGCGAGGGAGATAAGATGCAGAATGCTACAAAATGAACCAATCCCTCTTCCCATAATACAAGAGTGTTTTGAACACTAGTGTACTGTACAAAACGTTCTTATATTATGGGACAGAGGGAGTAGCTGTTAATGTAAGTACAGTGATAGACCACGTTCAGTCCTTACAAGAGGACTGTAGAGCTAAACCTCTTCAAAACCATTGGGTTGATTCTGAATTTGTGTAAGAGTCCATACGGATCTTATAATGTCCACCAAATGGACAATTACGAGGCTAACATGTGTAGTGATGCTACATAATCAAACAGCTATGAAAGTAAGTATGGTCATACAGGGCAAGAGGTACTCACGAGAGCAATGCAGTGTGCAGTATAGTTGCGAGATTCTGTGGTCCCTTGAGAACAAATGTTCTTCTGCTAATAGTTTTCGTACAAGTGAGACATTAAGGCAAATGCAGAAATGTAGTTCAATTTGTGATGTGATATCATAGACAGTACCTTACACTGCAGCTGAGACCAATGTGTAACAAGATTATTCCAGTCACCGTCGGATAAATGTAGCACCGGAGACTTTATAGAAATTTCGTTCAGAGGCTTGCCATCGAAGTGCGCTTGCCTCAGGTAGGAACGATACTTCATCAAGAGTGCTTGAAAAGCGCAACCAACTCTTGCTCATCATCACAATCCAGTTTGCTCCTCGCCTATTTAAAAGAATGAAATCTTGTGTCTTATGTCAGTAGAAACATGTGCAGTAATGACCATGAATAACATTAGTACATTACTTACGCGTAAGTTGCGGAGGAAGACTGAAATTGTTCTGTGTCTGCGGTATAATATTTCCATGAAGGAAAGATGCGCACAAAGTTCCTGACAACAACATAAGCTTCGTCTTCTAAACTGGGAAGAAATGGAACAGGGGTCCTATTTGCTGAAATTGGGGCTCTCTCTGGTTCGAAAAGGGTTTTGGCAACTGGATTTGGTGTACTCTTTGCTGGAATGGGGGTTTTGCGTCGTACAACTGGTGCTATGTCAACTGGCATAATCATACTGTTTGCTCCAGTTGGGGTCTGCTGAGTCGGGGCATCAGAAATGACCAGTGTAGTAGGGCTAGAGTCTGCTAGAGTTGGGGTATTTTGTGGGTCGGGTGATATTGCAACTACACCTAATGGGCTATTTGATTTATCAGGTGCCACCACCTTTTCCAAATACTTTGCTTGTGCTCCTCCACGATCAGCAATTGCCCTCTTCCTTTTGAACGTCTGATACACAAGAACAACATTTGAATGGATAAATATGGTATGATGACAGATGGAATATGTACTGAAAATGGATAGGCAGGGCGTATTCACATACACGATGTGTAAACTAAGCTAATGGCAGTTCAACAAAGTAGAAGCAATGCAAAGCATCAGTTTCAAGATATGTGCAAGCAATGTAACCTTGGAATGTTAGAGCAAGTACCTTGATGGGTGAATAAGATAGGGCATCTTCCTCTGACTCCTCCACTAGGGAGCTACATTGACTTAGGTCTCCCTCTAGCTCAAAATCACTATTAGGATCACATTCTGAGCATGAATCTGTAGGTGGAGAGCGTTTGCATTGCATTGCATCCAGACTTGATTTCAGTCCCTTAATGCCAAGTTTGACAGCCATGGCATTGTTCTGCTTTATTCTTTTCATGCGCGCAAGCTCATAATCATTATGATGCTGTTCAGAATCTGAGATTCATGAAAACATAAAAAGTAGTCAGATTATCTATGGAATGCATTGCGGATTCAACTTAGCGAGTGTCTCCCTATAAACCCCTACATATGCAAAGTTCACCTCCCCAGCCGTGCTGACCAGACCATACACAAAAATAGAAACCCCTTATGTCTCTATAACAGGCAGGCACACATTTCAAAACTGAAGTAGGAACATTAGAATCATATGAAATTTGTATATGAACAAATAAACTAAGCAATTATGAGTGGTGTAATGTTTAGCTTCAAGGGTGGAGTGTTGGTAGTGCGACACAAAGCAAGTAGGCAGATTGTATTCCATGTAAAAGATCGAAACCTATGTAAAAGCTGGAAATGACACTTTCTTTCTATACAATGCAGTGTTCGTTACCCACACATGATGGAAGAGATCACATAGAGAAATACTATTCACTCAGGTCTACGGTTCCAGTATTTAGAAACAGGGTGGTCCACCCTAAAAGAATATTGACAACAAATATGACAAGGCAAGCATAGATGTAGTGAATCAATCATTTACTTGTGAGCTTATTAGGACAAGTATGCAGAATTGTAACTGCAGTAAGAGACCGTCCAAAATCTGAATGAAGAAGTTTGTCTAGCACTTATCGTTTGCAACTAATCGACGTGAATAATTGGATATTATATCGAATGAGTAATAAAGAGAAGTAAAGTTGTCAACAAACCTGGCTTGCAGTAGTAATCTCGGTTAATGTTACTACGACCAACAATCCAAAATGACTAGTTTCTGTTCCGAGGGCCGGAATTTTGAAAACCCTGTGAACTTTAGAGGTACTAAAGATTACCGAAATACATCTGAACCATTAAGTGTAGGTAGCACTGAGCACACAACAAACCCTAATGACAGTCCTGCCTAATGAGTAATGAATCAACTAGAAAATGGGTGATGAGGAGTGGCTACTGAGTGTTGAGGACGTATCTCAGGATAAATCGGGTTGGCTTGGTGGGTGCTGCACGCCTGAGCCCTGAACGGACTGGGAAGGTAGGCACGGCGGCGCGCCCGGGCAGCGGTGACGCTGTTGGGCGAGCGGCTCCTGGCCTCCTATTAGTCCGGCGTCTCCTCCTAGAGTCATGCCGTCCGGGGACGGCAAG